AAGTGGTCTGTAACTGAGCTTTGCAATTACAAAGTGCCTGTAATAAACTAGATAGCAAAAAGTGTGGTTGGTTATATCATTTTGTCAATTATGTGGAATCTGAGATCTTCCCTGCTATCAGCTAAAGTAGTAAAAAAAAGCAAAAGGTTTGTGTTCCTACTGTTCTAAATGGGGAGGGGATGGGTGGGTGCAAATGTTCTCGCAGTGCTGGTTCAGAATGTAACTTTCATTCAGCTTGCACAAATGAAATGGCACCAAGATAGCTGCCAATAATCATGTAGAATACATTATTATTGTAATCAACATAGTGCATTTTGGAAATGGCACAGATTTATAAAGTACAAGTTATGCCTGATACTCATTTTGACCAAAAATAATACTTCAAAAAATGTTCAGTTCAGGGGCTTAAAGACATATCCACACTGGTAAAGAAGCCATTGCCTATATTGTGAATTTACAGCACAATAGCTGCTCCATAGTCACTTGCCATGTGTATACTCTCAATGGGCACATCTACATGTGCCATTAGGGGGCAGCACTAAACTGTAGAGCTTATTGTTCCACAGTTTATTGCTCCTGGGAAGCTCCAAGGTACCCGGTTTACACATGCGCCTGGGCTGCAGCACGTTGAGCCGTGTTGCAGCACCCCTGGCTGGCAGAGTTGCTCTGACTGGGCTCAGTGTGCTGCAGAGGGGCTGGCTGGAGCATGAGGGTGCTTCAGTGTGGGGCTAGCCAGCAGGCAGCCTTGTGCTCCAGCCAGCCAGCTCAGCATCTACATATGCGCTGTTACACATGAAAACCCTGCAGCAAGACAGTATTTACAAGTCCTAGCCTGCTGTGGAGTTTTAGCTTCCTGCTCCCTAATAGGGGCTCATGTGTAGACGCTGAGGTGTTTACTGTACAGCTAATTAGCTGTGCAAGTAAACATCTTAAGGATGCTTTTGTTTGGACATGGTTTATTTCACTTTGCAGTAAAGTGAAATTTACTTTATTTTACTTTGCACATTTACTATGGAATAAACTGACTTTGCTCCATAATAAAAGTGGAGCAGGCACATGACTCACAGCCTTACCTGTTTAAGCCACTCCAGAGTACAGCCAGTCCTCGACTTACAACATTTTGCACTTAACACCCTGTTTCAACTTTATAACATCAGTTTCGACTTACAACGCTTGATCCAATGCGACACCACGCCAGTGAACAAGTTCACTGCATTGCCCATCTCCCTGGTGAACATCTGTCCAAACTTCCTTGGACACTTTCTTTAAGAAAGCAGCCAAGACTCCAGAAAAACCTGCAGCCAAGACTCCTGAGAAGACTCCAGCCAAGAGCCCTTCAAAAAGTCCAGCAAAGTCACCTCAAAGAAGTCCTTCCAAATCAATTGCTATTTACAATATAAATAGATTAATGTAGCTATGTTACTCATCTATAAGTGGTCAAGTACAAAATTTTGGGGTATTTTTGGTGAAAAATCAGGTTCAGGAACCAATCCCCCATTTATAACCTTGTTTCTTATGGGAAAATTGGTTCTGAGTTACAATGTTTTGACTTATGATGTGGTTTTCAGAAACCAATTGTGTTGTAAGTCTGAGGACTGCCTGTAAAGTTATGCAAAGCGAGGAGGTGTTTTGGTTGTATGTGTTCCCCTAGTCATTATCATCCAAGGGTAACTTTGCCCAGTGGCACCCTGCCACCTACTGGTTATATACTGTAATAGCACCCATGGCAAGCATAAATTTAAACTGCAGCAGGATAGTACTTGTTTTTTTACTCATAAGCAGTGCATGTGGAGATGCTGACAGGGGTGCCTGGGGCATGAGGGTGCTTCAGTGAGAGGACTGGCTGCTGGCTAGCCTCGCACCAGAGCACCCTTGTGCCCCAGCCAGCCCTTCTGCAGCATGTTGAGCCCATGTTGGAGCAGCCCCAAGCTGGCAGGCTGACCCCTCTGTGCCCTCTGCCAGCTGGAGCTGCTCCGACCCCACTCAACGCACTGCAGTTCCAGGCGCAATAAGCCCTGGAGTTTGAGTCATGTTAATATGCATATGTGAATGTACCCTCTATGGAGTAAACCAGTGGGACCTAATCCTCTGGATGTAGAAGCCAGATGAGTGGTATAGGGTCAGTCCATGGTCCAGATCCCATGCAGGGTCAGTATATGATCTGTGGATGTAACTGGACTTGGGTCCGTGCCAGCCCAACCTTGTGTCCCCAGATACAGCCACACACTGGCACCAGCTAGTGCTCAGTCATGTAATTTAGCCCATGAGGTTCCCAGTGGGTCTGGAAATTTGGCAATGCAGCAGGAATTAATCCTGCCACTGCTTCCCTGCCACCAAGTTTCTGGCTGCGCGGGGAGCCCACGGGCCTGGATCTGGCCCACAGGCCAAAGATTGAGCACCCCTGGAGTAAACTTACATCTTATTGAACTTAATTGGACCTATGTTTCCAATGGGAAAGGTCTTTTTTTAAAGCATTTTACCCCAGCTCATAAATCTTATTTGGAGGGAAAAAAGTTGCAACTTTGAAAAGGTATAACAGTCTATCTCATAAATTCAAGAAAGAATCTATTCAAATTGCCTTGCCTGGCAACTAGAAACTAGTTACAACTGAAAACAAAAGGTAACAGGAAGTTGAGTGTCCAAGAAAAAGTTCACACTTCTGTATAATTTAAGGGCTTGTGTCACAGGCTGGGGGTCCAGTCTGCTTCTAAATTTGCAAAGAACTGAATCTGCAGGAGACATGGGAATGTGTTCTTCCTAATAATCCCAGGGAACAAAACATTCCCACAGGTGATGGTTATGAAGGAGGAGGAAGGAAGAATCCCTAATGTCTGGATAACATAAAGTACCATGTGTACATCTGGCAAACCAGAACACAGGAACCTTAAATTTAACATTCTATTGTGTGGGGAACCTAGTCCTTAATGCAGTGTGAGGAAGCATCTGATCTCCCACCTACCAGGCAGCTGGAAACAAGGGGCTCCAGTAGGTGGGCTTTACAAGAGAGGAGGACTAAGCATAACACATGAGGGAATTCACCAGTCCTCAACCTCCAAAGTCAGGACCAGGATTACAGCTCTCATTAGGACAAAGGCAAGCATTCAAAACTTCAAGGTATGTTAAGCACTTCTTAAAAAAATGTGTGGCTTAATTTATAAGTGATTTTCCTATTGGCATCAATGGGAGACCTGCAATTGCTCAGCAATGCTGAAATACAAATCACATTCATTTAGGTGTCATTTATAACATGGCAGGCCTGGGGTGCCCTGGGATGGGCTTCTGTCCCTGGCAGCCTGCTCCCTTGTCCAGCACCCCAACAACCTCTCCCACCTTGCTTACCAAGTCACCTTGAAGTTATCAGTGATAAAGCTGAGAGGCAGCCCTCAGGTGATCAGAGGGATGCTCTAGGCATCCTTCAGCAGCCCACACAGAATCCCTTCAGCCATTCAGAAGCCCACATGGAGAACTTGGGCCTGCAGTAGCAAAGCCCTCAGAGTGTTTTGTCCTGGGCAGCCTCCACCGTGTTGCCCCTTTAAGAGGGTTCTCGCCAGCCTCCCCATGCCTCACTTTACAAATGAGCAAACACTTCCCATAACAGAAGCCATCAGTAAAATAACCAAAATTTACCCATCTGTAGGACTCTCCCTTGCAGTCCACGCAGAGCACCTTGGCCTGGGTCAGACCTCCACCTCAGCCTAATTCTGTTAAAATTCCCTGCTTGGCTCCTTCCTTTCCAGTCATTCCCCCCACTTCCCTAATGAGACATAAGGATTCCTCCTGTACTCAGCAGGCTCGCTGCTCTTACTGCTCCTTCCCTGATGGGCCCCAAGGTTTTCCCCTGCTTAACTGGCATGCTTACTGCTTTGCTCCTTCTGATCTGCCCTTGCAACCTGCACCCTATTAATAGGCTCACAACTCTGCAGTTTGCTTCACCGGAGCTTTCACCCTGCACTCAGTCAGAGGGCTTAGGGGCCTTCGTTACAGTAAATGATGGCCTCTTTTTTTTGTTGACGTTTCACAAATTATTAGCGAATTAGTATTGCCATTCCTCAAGTTCAAGTTCTATGTCCATGTGCATATTTAAAAAACACCAGATAATTAAAGACCAAATTCTGCCCTTGCATCTGGATAGCTTCTTCACCAAATACTGGTTTATTTATACCCACCTGAGAGGCTAGGAATAGAACACAGTATTCCTGGTGTGGTCTCTACAGGCTGCTCATTCTACTTTTTTCTATTATTTCAAGAGGTTTGCCTGTGGCCTTGTTGTTTTAGGTTTTATTTTGCTTCTTTACTTAGATAGGGGATGCTGTTCAGGAGTCCCTCATAAGTTAGGCTGTAATACCCAGTCACATGAGTAAACCATGTACTTATTTATAAAGAAAATAAGGGCTCATGACAGGTGGGATTTTCAAAGGACCCTTCTTGTGGCAGCACAGCCCTGGCCCTTTCCCTGCCCAAGGCTCACGTGCTCTCGCTGCCAGCAGTGAGCCGAGCTGGGGCTCCATGGACCCTGTTGCAGCTGCTGGCAGCCTCCCCACCACCTGCTGTGAGCAGCTCAGACTCTATGGCAGGTGGCAGGGGCCTTCCCAGAGCCTGGGCAGGTGGCAGGGGCCTTCCCAGAGCCCGGGCTAGCTGTTGCAGGCAGCCAGAAGGCTGCAAGTAGCTGCAGTGGGGTCGGCAGAGCCCCAGACCAGCTCATTGCTGGAAGCAGGTACATGTGTGCCTCAGTGGACAGGGGGGAGGGACCAGGGCTGCACTACCAGAAGAAGGATGAGGCCCCTTGCAGCTCCCCTGTTATCTTACCCAAGGGCCGGTGTGCCAAGCAAAATGTCTTTACGTGCCATGCTCTGGCACGTACCAGGGGTGGCTGACCTCTGCTCTAGGGTAAGAAGCCTTACGTTGAATTGGATCCAAACATTTATGCAAAAACTTCACAGTTCTATACATATAGGTAGTCATTTCCCTGCCAAGGAATTATATAAATAAAAGGGCAATACAAAATGTAAGAATGAATTTTACCTACAATTGTTGGTAATGTACCAAAATGCAACTGTAATAAAGATCACATGAACACTTAATAGATTGCCAGTAGACTTCAACTATTGTTCCCCACTATCATTACCCCTTGTTAGATTTGTTATAAAAGTGTGGAGCATTATAAGTATAAAAATCACCTTGATTTTTAAATTTCCATTAAAGATGCAATAACAGAAACAAGCAGTAAAATATTTAGAGGAATCATGGCAAAGAATATCATACAGACATAATCTTAGACAGCAATGCAAAGTGTCTTTGAAGAACTTCTGGAATCAGCATGCAGGCCAAGAACAAAAGACTGCGTGCAGAGTGCTGTGAGTGTTCTGGCTTCAAGTCTCATATCTGTTTCCTCACCACTCTGCGCGTGGGACAGAACTTGAGGGAGGTATATGGCTCCCAACTTCTGTTCCCATGTCAGCAGTAGTTCTGTGAGGCCAGGACCTCTTCTCTTGTAGTAATAGGGAAAAGCGCAAGGTTTGGCCCATAACTTTGTGCTGAGATGTAACGGTGGGCCAATGCTGTCTTGTATGCTTCCTATACCTCTGGCATCACCCAGACTTCTATAATATATCCCATTTAATGTTTTATGTTCTTGAAAAGCAGTTTGAATGTCCACCCTTTCCTATTTATGGACTAGAATAGCAAAGCCGAGAAATAATTTGACTGCCAGTCTAGAGGGCTGTTATCTCACAACGCAAGAGGTATAGAAACCATCCACATTTCTAGAAAGTGATGGCTCAGCAGGTTTTAAACAAAGGATTGATAGTCCTCTACTTTTCCTGCAACTGCTGCCTTTTCCCAGGCATAACTAAGCCAATTTCTTGTTAGGACTGGAGATGCTCCAGGAAGTTAAGCATCAATGCTGAATCACCTACAAGAGCATTCCAAAGTTCAGGCAAGCAGGAGATCTGATATGGCTTATGAAGCAGTGATTCCCCCCATTTTGATTCCTTTAATTCCATGGGAAGCTATTGATTAATAGTGCTAACCATGATTTCATCTGAATGAGAGAGAGATTCAAGCCACTGCATGAACAGCTGATGCCTTTCGAATAAGCCGCTCAGTCAACGGCGAATTTGGTCTCAGTGCATCACGTTCCATCAAGAGGCACCTGGAGGTGGGGAGGCAGGAGAAAGAGGCCTTAAGTATAGAGTTCAAAATTACAGAGCAGGCTATTTTTTAATTATCTTGTGTAGTAGCCATGTGGTAGATGGTGACTTCACTGTCACCAGTGTTACCTGACAATCAGTTTCGAAGACACTACAGCAGTGTTTTTTTAAGGTCAGTATTGTATGCCTGACCCACAAACACAGAGCACACACTAGCTGAGTGGACTCACCTTTCCCCCCACTTCTACCCCTCCAATTAATTCATTTTTGCAATCACATGGCACTGGAAGTAGCATTGCACTTGCATGGTGCAGACTGATCTTTGCCTGGGAGGTCAATTTTAAACAAGCCTGCTCTTCTCTCATGAAGCCCCCTTGTTTCCCATTTGTATTTAAGAGGCTGAAGCAGAAGAGCCACTCTAATCTGGCTACCCTGCATCTGGTTCCAGGACTAGTACACAGAGACCTTGTTTGGAGTGATGTTGCATCAAGGATGGGCAATTATTTGGCCCATGGGCCACATAGAGAGTTGTGGTGACCTGTTGCAGGCCAGGTCAGCACACCCCCTCCGCTCCCTCCCTGCACAACAGCTGACCAAAACTCCCTAAGTGGCCCCATCCTATCTGCCTGGTCATACACCCTGCCTATGCAGGTCCTGGCTGATCTCCATTGAGACTCCAAGATCATGGAGCTGAGGGACAAATGAAAACAAAGCAGCAGGGGTAGCAATACTATTCAAGAATCAAAAGTTAAGAGGAAAGCAAGTGGAAGACATCAGCACTGGCAGGTTACAACAAATGATACCATCCCTCAGAGAAACAGAATTAGAAATTTTCAATGCATATGAACCACTAGAGAGAGAGGAGAGGAAGGCTCTGCTTTGAAATCTATCAGTATTCATGGTTGGAGGGAGACTGGATTATAACCAAGGACTTCAGCTGTATAATACAAATGGGTGACAGAACAGAAGGAGGAGGAAATGAACTTTAGACAGCTCGTCCAGATTGTTAGCAAATATAATAAAAGAAGAGTCACTGAGAGATGTGTGGGCAGGGAGAAAACTTTCACTGGACCTGACCCTGGTGGAAAGAGTCAAGAACTGACTTCGTGTTTGTATTAAAAGAAATAGAGATAAGAAAGAAAGAAACCATAACTGTGGCATTTAGTGATCACTGGATACTGAAGGTGGAACTGAGTCTCTGTAAGAGCCCCAAAAGATGAAGGGGAGTGTGGAAGCTAAATGTGTGACTGTTACAAGGTACAGAGATATGTCAAGTGTACATGAGACAGAATTAGGTGTGCAGAGACGACCTGAGCAGGGTGAGGGGCCTGGGGCAAATCAGCTTGTGTGGGGCCCTGCTCTCAGATGCAAGGAAGCTGGTGGTAGATTCAGCAGAGGGGGGAAGGTAGCGAGCAGCTGGATGTGGCGGATTTGGTGGTAGGGGGAAGGGTTGGGGGTGCTGAGTGGCCGAATGTGAAGCTGGCAGCAGTGCGGAGTCGCTGTGCTGCTCTGTCTGGCTCCACGGGGCCCCCCAAAGCGTGGGGCCCAGGGCGGTTGCCTCAATTTGCACCCTCCACCTCTCAGGGATGACCCTGGAGGTGTGAACATTGAAGAAATATTTTAAGAGTACCAGAGAATGGTGGTTGATTGTGAAGAGGAGGACAGGAGAATTCCTCAGGAAGGAAGGCTGAAGAACTGTGGGGAAAAGAGTGAAAGAGCTGAGAAAGCTGCAAAGAAAGATGCAGAAACTGCTAAACAAAGCTGCTGAAGTAGACAGATATGAGAAGAATGAGAAAAAAGCAAGGCAAGAGATAGAAAGCTGGTTTAAAAGAAAGATGAGAAAGAAAATATGTTTAGCACAAGCACCAGGAGCAGATAGACTACCTATGGAATTTTACAAGAAGTTCTGGGCATGAGTAGGGAAGGTTATAGTGGAATTATCTGAGGAACTAGTGGAAACAGGAGAGGCAGAGAAAGTTTTTACAAAAGGAATTATGATCTTACTCTTCAAGAAAGGGGAGGAGGAACACCTGAAAAACTGGAGACAGATTATACTCTTTAATATGGACTGTAAGTTAGTGGCCAAGATGCTGGCTTTGAAAATGAGGAAAATAGTACAGAAGATAATACATGAAGACCATGTATATGCAGTACCAGATAGAAGGATCTCCAAAGTGAGCAGAGATGCACTGTCCCACATCCAAGAGAGGAAAGCACACACAGTTACAGCAAACCTAGATTTAGAAAAAACACACGACAGAGTGGATCATGATAATATATTTGAAGTGTTAGGAAAAATGGGGTTCCCAGAGAAATTTATATGCTGGATAATGTTATTGTACAGAGAAGTGGACAGTCAAATCCAAATGATTGGGCATCTCAGTGGGGCCTTTAAAATCTATACAGGGGTGAGACAAGGGTGCACCCTGTTGCCACTACTATTTGTGTGCAGCATGGAACCATTAGTACAAAGAATAAAAAAAGACAAAGCCATAAGTGGAGTAAAGATACCAGGAGGCGGAAGAGGTAAAATGCATATTATACATAGATGATATATATGTAGTGGTTAGAGAGAGATTTTCGATAGAAAGGGTTCTAAAGCATACAGAGCATGGAGAAGTGATGGGGGTTAAACTAAATAGATCAAAAAGCACCATAACGGAGCTGGAGGAAATTGGAGAAATGAGGGAGAGAGAGAGAAAGAGAGAAATGAGAGTGCTAGGGATCCTGTTGGATGCTGAAGGAAAAGGTAACACAGCATGGAAAAAGGTGATGGCAAGGATACAGCAAATACTTTGGTTATGGTCCAGAAAGGACACTGTCCTTTGCTGAAAAAATGGTGGTGGTTAAGGCTGTGCTACTGCCAATTATTCTATATATGGGAATTCTATGTATTCCCACTGACGTGGTGGCAGACAAGAAAAGTAGAGGGAAATGTGTGTGTTCTTCTGGAATGCCAAAAAAGGAAAGGTTGGATAAAGCTGAACTGTTCAAAGCAAGAGAGATGGGGGGAAGGGGGGCTGCTGGACCTGGGATTGTTCTTTTATGTGAAATATCTAAGTGCAGCATGCAAGATGGTAATGGAAGGAGAGGGGAAAGCAGCATGTCTCACCCAATTTCATGTAGCTGCAATTTGGAGGAAATGGGGAATATATCAGACTTCTTCGAAGAGTCCATGGGCATGGCAACCACTGATTCATTACATCAGGTTGGAAGATTTTATGCAGAGGTATAAAATAAGGAAGGTAGGGCTGGAGGTCCTGAAGGATCATAAGAAATTGACGAGAGACGTGCAGGGAAGAAGAAATGGTGGGACGTGTGTTTTGGGAGTGTACATATGCAAAGGGAGTGTGGGAAGGGGTCTGCCTCTTTCTGAGTGTCACCAAAATGGAAGTCAATCATCATGGTGCCCTATGACCAGTGGGGTCCCCCAAGGCTCTGTTCTTGGACCCATATTGTTCAACATCTTCATTAATGATGTGGACATTGGAGTCAGAAGCGGACTGGCCAAGTTCACCGATGACACCAAACTTTGGGGCAAAGCATCTACACCAGAAGACAGGTGGGTGATCCAGGCTGACCTGGACAGGCTCAGCAAATGGGCGGACAAGAAC